TTTTTTTTTTTTTTTTTTGGCTGACACTTTTTAAATTGGTACGGAATACTTTCTCCAGAACTTTTGCAGCAGGGCTGTACAGCCCGCCATCTGGGTCGCTTCCCCAGCTCATTTTCTCTTGGTTCTGGATCCTGGGGCTCCGGGAGGCCAGGCCCAGCGCATGCGTATGCGCACACCGAGAGGCGCGCTCCCGGGCGCTCGCTTGCTGCCTTCTCTCCGTAGGCTGCGTGGTTTTCCCTGGGTGCTCGCCTCCTTTTTATGAGGCCACCTCTCTGCTGGGAGCCCTGCCTTTAGGACCTCATTTACCATGGTTATGTCCTAAAAGCGCTGTCTTCAGAGATAGTTACTTGGAGGCTAAGGATTCAACAAATGGACTTGAGGGGCGCACAGTTTAGTCACATGCGTTCAATTTATAACAAAGGAAATTGCAGTCGGCGAGGGGAAGGGGGCAGAACTGTGAACCGAGCTAGGACAGCTGGGAATTCATCGCCGAGGTCAGTGGGAGTAGTGGACAGAAGTTCCGAGGAGGAGGCAGGAAGGGTGTGGCGCTGGTGCCCGGTCCGGCTTTCCTCCGGGTGGGGAGGGAGCTCGGCCGATACTCAGGGCGGCTGCTCTCCGACTTGGGACTTGCTGCACTGGCTCCCGCAGGTCTGGGGGAGAGCGTCTGCCCGCAGTTTGTCTCCACTTTCACCATTGTTCCGGGTGATTCCCATGCCCGGGCCCCAGCAATAAGCTCTCACCTCCCGGGGGCCAGCAGCGGGGTGGTGCCTTTGCCCAGCAGTGTGGTGTGTGTATGTGGTGGTGTGAGGAGTTCTCTTTCAGTTTCACCTACTCTGTTTACATTTCTCTTTAGATCCAAGGTCTTAGACGTACCTTGCACTGTAATTCTTGTGTTCTTTGAAGGTTTTATAGTAAATTGGATTGGTTTTCATTTTCTCTCATGGCTGATTTGGGATTCAGGCTGTCTTGGGTTTGATGTTTGTTGTTTCGCAGTCACTCGATTCCTAACTTTCAGCACATTGTTCATTTCTTCTCTTTGGTTCTCCTATCCTTTGGGCTGATGATGTCATTTTAAAGAACACCTTTATTCTAGACAGGGCTTTGACGAATGCGCAGCATTAGATAACATGCCTTTAACTTTGTTGCACTAGGAAGCACCATTTAAAATGAGAAAGCAGATTGAATAGTTGAAGGGAATTGTCTTTTTTAACATTGAGAGGGTTTTGCTCTACTGTGATTTTAATTTTTTTTAGAGATTTTTTTTCATGTAGTGATTCTAAATCATCACCCAAGGCTATTCTGTAATTTCCTCTTGTGTTTAGACCTACCTTTTTCTTTTTTCTGGTTCTGGGGATTGAACCTAGGGCCTTCATACTGAGCTACATTCTCAGCTCCTTTTAAATTAAAAAAAATTTTTTTGAGACGGGCTCTCGTTAAATTACTAAATTGCCCAACCTGGGCTTGAACTTTGTGATCCACCTGTCTCAGACTCCCAGAATCCTGGGATTACAGGTGTGCACTGCCATGCCTGCTTAAATTCTTTGTCTTGAAATTGACTAGTGGCTTCAAGCAAAAGCTGTGGGGGCATAAGGGAGGCAGGTGTGACTAGCATCTATTGGGTGTTATGAGAGTGGTCATCTCAGTTTTATGTCACTTAATCCTCACAGCAATTCTGTAAGGTAAGTGATATTATCCCACCATATGGATAAGGATAAAGATAAAGATCAGAGAGGGTAGGTAACTTGCTTAAGAGCCAGTCAGAGTGGGGGCACTGAGTTTCAAGCCTAGGTTTTCAGAGCATTCAACTTTTTTTTTACTCTACCCTCTCCTTTTGCTCCTTGCTGAATAATTCATTCATTCACCAGCAACTGTTGGGTTGCCTATTGTGTGTTGTACCTTAGGGGCACAGGGAGGAGCGGTCTGTGCTCTGGTGGAACCAGAATGACCCAATGAGATTTACCTTCCAGTAGGATTACGGGTGATCTGTGGAGTGGCAAGAGACACCTTGGTAAAAGGTGACACTGGTTGGACTTAGGGGGCAGAGGAGATGGGCGCAGAGAAGGGGGTGGATTTGAGATGCTGCTTGGAGAGAAGCTGCCATGGTGGGGCAGGAAAGAGGGCTGGGGATGTGGCTCAGTGGTACAGTTCTTGCCTAAGGGGTGGTTTAGGGATTTGGAAGGAACCAGAGGAATTGTGTTTCATGCCAGGTTTAATTTGAACTGAGTACTGTTTCCTGATACAAGGAGGAAGAGGCTGGAATGGTGGCCTGAGTGATTAACAGAATAGTATCTCTGTTAGCATATCCCTGTGGAGCGAGCTGTCCATAACTCAGGTAAACCTCTGCGAGCCCTGTGAGGGTCTGGTCTGGGTTTGGGCATCACTCTCATATAAATGGTATTTCAAGCCATGAGGCAGAAAATGATCAGGGAAAGCATGCAGATGTATGTATGATAATAGAAGTATGAGGCAGTATTATTGCTCTACTCCTACGGAGAATTTTCATAGCCTCGTAGCCCGGCTGGATGGGGAGAGCAGCCCACTTTGTGGCTGCTGCATGGAGGACATTAGCCACAGCACATCCCCGGCGTGTTGGCAGTCTGTGGCCTTTCCACTAACCTGTGTCCAGATGTCCTCACCTCCCTGAGAGACTCACCTGAGGGCATCGGCATGGGGATCCCCGATTCGAGGAGCATGATGGCACATGCATCGGCACTTCATTAAGTTTAGATAAATGGTGGAAAAGAAGTTTCAGCTGAGATACCGAAACTAAGGCATCTGGGGTCACTCACTAGCAGATTCACTATTACACATCGGTCTTGTTGCATACAAGCTTTAAAAACAAAATATTTTGGATATCATACACTCTCTGGGTTACACTTAGTAGAATTATAAATGTTCCATCTCAGAATGCCAAATATAAAAGAAGCCGTATGGGAACAATTGCAAAATTAGATTGATACTAACAATAGTTAAGAAGTGGAAATAGTTCAAATGTCCTTCACCAGGACAACAGGTAAAAAGAATTGTGGGAAAGTCATTCATTGGACAACATGGTTGAATATGTTGAACACCAAAACATATTGTTTAGTGAAAGAAGGCAGATACAAAAGAATACATGCTAATACATACTGTGTGATCTCACTCACATGAAGTTCAAGAACAGGCAAAGATGAGCAGAACAGTAGGGATGCCCGCGAGGTGGGGACTGACCAAAGGGAGGTGTGAGGCAACTTTCTGGGCTGAGGGAAGTACTCACTGTTCTGCCTAAGGCGCTTGTTAAACAGGTATATTCATTTGTCCAGGCTCATCACCTTGTGGCTTTAGCTTTGTACATGTCACTGTATGTAAGTTTTTATCTTAGTAAAACAAGGCAACAGCAGCATAAACAATATGCTGAGGAATTCGGTGGAGATGAATACAGAGGATCTCTGTCCCTTCAGATGCAGAATGACTTAATTTTCGACTCTCAGCTAGGTCTACACTATAACATCTGTTCTGATGATGACTACATAATTTACAGTGCAAGCTAGGGTACTTCGGGTGGCTAAGGGAATGCAACTGTAAATTACACTGGGGCGACAGGTAGAACCTATGACTGGGTTTCTGTACTGGTCACATGTGGTACCGCACTGCAGGCACAACCGGAGGTGGGCGCTGGTGCAGCCAGGGTAAGCCAGGGAAGAGCCTGCCTGGCCTCATGGGGAGGTGGGTAGAGGGAGCAGGGCCGTCGAGATGAGAGGGGAAAGTGGGAATCATCTGGGGTAAAGGGAGATGTGTTTCCCTAAATTGCCATTAATGAGCTTTTAAAAAAGATTTTTTTTTAATGTTTCAGAAGTTACTCATGTTGCTTTCGTTGTTCCTTTGAAACAGGAGATAGTGGATAGCCCCTTCCCGACATGGAGGATGGGAAGCCCGTGTGGGCACCACACCCCACAGATGGGTTTCAGATGGGCAGCATCGTGGACATCGGGCCCGACAGCTTGACGATTGAGCCCTTGAACCAAAAAGGCAAGGTGAGTTTCTCAGAAAGATTTCAAAATGTGATTCCTTGTTGAAAGTAGGTATATTTTCAAGAGAGATACATATTTCTCTTCTTAGAGAAGTAAGATATTCCTGGCAGAATAGAGGGGAAAAAAATTCTGCTAAGTTAATCTTAGTTCTCTGTTGACTTCTTTGATTGAAATCAGAAGTTCATACCCTAGGGAAAGCATGGTGTGCGACAGTAAAATCAGACAAATTTAGTGAGCCTTTCATAGCCATATTCTTTTTTGGAGGGGGTAATAGGGGATACCAGGATTGAACTCAGGACCTTGCGCTTGTGAGGCAGGTGCAGCGCCACTGAGCTAAATCTCCGGCCCCTGTAGTCATATTCTTAAGCAGCTCTGTGATGAAGTTGAAACAACATTTGTATTCCTTATGCTACTTTACTGAAATTATTGGCATACCTGTGATGTACTCAAAATGTTAGGAAGTAAAAATATGAAAATGCATGGTGCTGTGTAATCAGGGTTTACTTTTTGCTTGGCCTTTACATGTCTTCTCTTTTGTTTTTGAACACTTTTTATTAAACTTGTTAGCATGACATTTGAATAAATGTTTCTATTGAGTAAAAATACTGAGTTGTAAACTTCATTTATTACTATTTTTGTGTTGATGCCGCAGAGTATGCTTTAATCCTGTACATGTGCGATTTATTTCCTTTCATGCTTAGGCACAGCCTGGACAATGTTATAAAATGGAAGTTGGGGGACGGTGTCCAGGAATTGTGAGCTGCTGGCGGAGATCGAGTCCGTTGTGAATACCTCTCCTTTAGGGAAAACAGCTTTGCTGTTTTCAGTTTAACAACGATTCCTGTTAAACACGTCTTCCTATTAAATTAGACTTGTGGATATCATTTCTGTTTATTTTACACTCTGCAAGTGTTCATGAATAATTTATATTCTACCGATACATGGTTAACTAATGCCATATGACTACCATCCTTCTGGGAACCTTAGAAAAACAAGGTGGATCCCTCTTGAGGCTTTTCAGAAAGAAAACTATTCTGTTACTGTAAACAACCTAGGAAACAAAATGCATAATACATAATGTGCCGTGTTAGAGGAGGCCAATTAAAGATACCTTTGGGGAAAGAAAGAAAAAAGGTTTCTAGATTTTCCTCTTATTAACAGGTACCCATTTGTACTTACAGTGCGGTACATATTAAAAAAACAAAATAATTTTTAGACATGTAATTATTTTATGCATTTAAAGCATTAGCTTTTTATTTAGCATAGTTTATAAGCACAGTAAATCAGAAGGCTAAAATGAAATGAAAATTTTATTTTCTAGGTATATTCTATTACATTTGCTGGTGACAAAATCAGTTCAAGCATAAGAGAAATTTGATTTATGAGGATATTTTTCAATATTCTAAATATTTTAATGTGCTTTAAGTGGTGCCTTATTAGTATTACTCAGGTGCCTATAGACCCAATAGTAACAGTTTAAATTATGGAGTCATGTAACTTTTAAGGATTTGTAGATAATTCTTTAATCTAAAGTTGATATTTCTTTTTCATAAAAATTATTTTTTTGAGGATTAACAAATTATCAAGGATTACTTTTCATGTTGATTTCCCGTCTTTCTGATTGAAATTTTAATAAATTGCCGAGTGTCTTAATAACCAGATGTGTAAAATGATCCATAAGAGAAATAAGATTTTGCTGAGCTAATTCATGGGCTAGGGGTCATCAGCCTTTAAATGTGACATGAAAAGTTCATGAAGCGGCAGACCAGTCACCCTAGACGACCTAGCACCAGGGAAGAGGAGAGCAGTCGGCACTGGTGGGGATACATCTTTGATGGTGGTAGTGGCTTTCTTGGGTCTCCTCTGTGCCCCATAGTAAGAAAGATTGTACTTTGCTTCAGGTATGTGTGTTGTGTGTATTTGAATGTATGAGAAATACATTTTACATGTCCACGTGTGTATGTAGAGTATGTGTGTTTGTGTGGGTATCATAAACAAAACAGTTGATCAAATGAAACATGGTTGGCACAGGCACTATTCTGTTAAAATGCTGTCTTGACACCTGAGTTGGTTTCTCATCCCTGGAGTGCAGCACTCTGGCCTTTAGGTCAAAGCCCAAAGCACAAGGCATATAAGGGCCTGCATGTCCTTTCCCTTGTCTGCCTTGCTGGTGGTGTACTTTCCTCGGCCAGCAGTTTTCCCCTTGATAGTCTTGCCTTGCCCTTGTGCGCCTGTTTCTTTGCTCTGCTTCTGTTCTGCGGTGCTGTGTCCCTGCCTGCAGTTCTTGTTTTGCCTGGTGTGCCACTCTCTGTAGCTCTTTACTTAGCAGATGGCTATTTATCTAAGACTGAGGTTACCTTCTGTGTGGAAATTTTCCGCAGACACCAGATCTCTCTCCCATGAAACAGAATTAACCATTGATTAGTTTTTCCTTTGAGGGGAAATATAGCTTAGCTTTCCTGTAGTCGCCGTCAGAGGTCATTGTTTTGTATGTCTTCCTTACCAGTGAGTGTTCTTCTCAGTGCAGCAACTGCTTCATTGGTTGGGTCTCTTCCAGGAGCTTGTTATGTGTTTTCTGTGGGGTTGGTGTTTTATGCTAGGTGATCAGTGTGTTCTTTGGTATTGGTTCTTTTTTTGCTAGGAGGAAAAATCTTCCTCCCTTTAAAAGTTGTCAGGAGAAAAGTGATGTTTTTCTTGGAGAGGAGAAGAAAATGAGGGTTACAGGTAATTTGAGGGGTGAAGCAGTAGGAAGAGTAACTCTCTTTGAGAACTTGTTTCAGTGTGCTCTTAACCTTGTAAGTAGCTCTGTGTCACCACCCTCCTCTCAGCTTCTGTCCCTGTGCTCTAACTTCCTGGGGTCTTTTTCACTTAGCATAGGTCTGCCAGGCTAGCCCCAATCCCTGGAACAAGGGTCTTTGTCCTGACTGTCATAGCTGTGACAAGTGGGATACAGTTCTCTAATGTTACCAATGTGTTTTCCTATGGAATCATTGTGATATAGAATCACTGTGGGTTGCTTCATGTTATCATTCATAATCTTAGTGTACATTATGGGTTAACATTCACCTTTGTGCTCTCTTCTCTAAACTTTTTCCACATTTCTAACACTGAGAACATACGTACTGGGTTCGAAGTGAGAAACTGCCGGATCTGTTAGAGCATAACAGTTTTCTAAAGTGACTCTGACTTCAAGTTGAGATCGTACTTGCAGCCTGGATTTTGCTCTGTAGACTATAATGGTGGCCTTGTCTTGTATAATGTTCTCACACCCCCATACACACACAGACGCATGCACAGACCTGCAGATGCTGTTATTTTTGGTAGTAGAGATCAAACCCAAAGCTTTGCGTGTACTAAGCATGTGCTGTACTTCTCTACAAGTATTATTCTAAAATAATTGGACCATTTTTCTTTAGAGTTTCATTTGATACGTTTGGAAACTTTAACCACAAGAGTAATTGTAATTGTTTAGAGGTATAAATTTATAAGTAACTGTTAGAAGAGCAAGGATTAAAATTTAATTCTCTTTTGATGTAGTTTGATATCATTTGTTCTCCCTTACAAGATGTTATCTTAATTCTGCTGTCTACCATAGAATTCAAGTAGTGAATTCAGTGCAGGTTTATTTATGGATACTTTTTTTATGAACCAAATATTTTCTGATACTATATATTTCTGACACATTTTTGTACAAGAATTTCTATCAAATATGTTTTATTCATATATTAAAATTAATGCTTTATTACATTTTATTGAATGCTACTTTTTGCTTTTTAAAAGCAAATTTGCTGTGTATACAAACATTAAACTTTTTATTTTATTTTATTTTTTTGGTACCACGGATTGAACTCGGGTCCTTGTGCTTGCGAGTCAGGCCACCGAACCGCAGAGCTAAGTCCCCGGCTAAACTTTTTATTTTAGAAAGAGTTGTTGAATAGTATGCCTGTGTAAAAGTTGACATTAATGTGTCACTCTTGGTGTAAGAGCCTAGGATGCTTATTTTCACAGTTCCATTATTGACTCAGGTCCACAGTAATAGTGGGAACTGTTTTTGAGGAAAGTTACCACTTTTGGGGTTAATGCCTTATTAAATAATAGGATCTGTACTGAATTTTAACAAAGAATATATTGTTACCCGCATAATGTATGCAACCAATTAAGCTCCTTTGTTTTTCTTATTATATATAAGCTTTTAATTAGTTTTTTTGTTTGTTTGTCAGACATTTTTGGCTCTTATAAATCAAGTGTTCCCTGCAGAAGAGGACAGTAAAAAAGATGTGGAAGATAATTGTAAGTATCAAGTTCAAAGTTAGTTCTTAGCCCAGAAAAAGAAACTTTCCTCCCCGCAAATAAGTTATTGGTTGAATTGCTAGTACATTATACTGGTTCAGAGAAAACTGCTGCCTTTGGATACGAAAGTTAACCTGAAAGGCGGAAATTTGTCTTTATCTCCGGTGTGCAATTTAGTGAGAGTCTCCCGATTGTCCCTTAGTGTTGTTTCAGCTGTGTACATGTGGGGGCGGTAGTAATTTACTGGGAGACTCGGACTAAAGCTTCTCTCCTGTTGGCAGTCTTGAGTGTTAATTTGAATCTTACCTAGAGTCAAGAGATTTTTGTAGCAGTACCTGTGGCTCAGTAATTTGCAAGTGGAGCCAGTAGGAGTCATTTCATGTCATTGTGTGAAGCAAACCAACATTAAAAAAACTATGTGATAACTTCTTATTGAAGATTTTATTTCAGAAAATTATATTAAAATACAATATCAGCTCCGGGCGTGTGGTCCACACCTGTAATCTCGGCTTCCGGAAGACTGAGGCAGGAAAATTGCAAGATCAAGCCCAGTCTGAACAACTAGTGGTGTAGCAAGCAAGACCCTGTCTCAAAATAAAAAAGGGAAAACGTGGCTCGATTGAAAGGCACTGGGCTTAATACTAGTACATACTAGTACCACCTAACAAAACAAGTCACAGCACAACACAACACTGTACAACACAAAGCAAAGCAGCACCAATTCAACTTATAAATAGTGTATTTGGTGAAAAAACCCTTATCCAGTGTGCAGGCTATGTTCCTACATATTCAACCTTAAGAAGTAATCACATTTCATTTTTTATTTTAATTTTAAAAAGCTTTTTAGTTTTGGGGGTACCAGGGATCGAACTCAGGCCCTTGTGCTTGCGAGGCAGGCACCGGAACCACTGAGCTAAATCCCTGGCCCTCTCACATTTCATTTTTTAAAGGGGGGGGGTTTGTCATTTTTTGTTGTTGTTATTAAAAAAAAAAAACTGAGAAAATCAAATTGAAAAGAAGAAAGGTTTATTTTGACTCAGAGTTTTGGAAGTTTCACTCTTGACTATCGCCGGTGGGCGGGTGGGCAGGTTCTCCTGGGGGTGTGTGTTCGCGAGGTTTCTCAGTCAGAACAGCTCAGAAACAGACTTGTGGAGGAGCTGCATCCCCTCTGTACTCATTGACTCCCCTCAAGCTCCAACCCCACCCTCCGCTCTCCTCGGCCTACATTTTGAATCCAGGGCCTTTGCATAAGCTCTATCCCTTACCCTTTTTATGTTTTACTTTTTTATTTTGAGACTGGGTCTCACTATGTTGCCCAGGCTGGGCTTAAACTTGTGATCGTCCTGTCTCAGCCTTCCAGAGTGCTGGGATTACAGGTATGTGCCATCACACTCAGCCAGACATTTTAGTATAATGTTTTGAAATACATTATCAATAAGTGGTTATTAAATAGTAGTAGTTTTAATGTTAGTTTGCTTCAAAAAGTAATGCTGAGTGATTCCCACTGACTGAACTTCCAAATCACCTAGCTGTGTATACTGCTAAGCTCCACCTTTTAAAGTTGTCACCATTCCAGTAGCACTGAGCTAAGCACCAGGCCTTTAACACATGAGCTTTTGGGGTATGTTTCAGTCCAAACTATGGGAGGGGGGACAGTGTTTAAAAATCACATCCAGTTGTCACGGTGTCTAACATTAAAAACTCTGTATTTCAAGAAAAAAGATGAGACAAAGGAATAGAGTTACTCTCATTGATTCTCGCCAGAGTTCGCTGTTGGGTAAGCCCATGTGCTGCCGATCTGTACACAGGGCCTGGTGGGGTGGCTGGGTGGTGAGAGGGCCCTGGGCTGAGGGCTGCCAGGCCTCAGGGAGGATGCTGACTGCAGTTAGCACGCTCACGTGCCTGTGGGCAACTTACGTCTCTTCTGAGATTCTCATCTATACAGTAGGAGTATTATTGTTGTTCTACATTATGAAACCCATCACAAAGGCAGCTTTGGTTGATTTAAGAAAGTCAGTTTTCCCCAGGAGCTTGTTCTTTTGTCAGTCTTGTCACAATACTACTGAGCTGTCTGAATGACACACTGGCATTGTCCCTTGGGGTCTCAAATGTATGTCTTTGCTCTTTTCTGTATCGTAGTGATAATGTCATGATTAAATGATTGATGTCTGTAGAGTGTGATGAAGGTTCCGTTAGGTATATGTGGTCTTCAGGCCTAGTGTGGTGGCGCATGCCTGTGATCTCAGCACTCGGGAGGCGAGGGGATCACCTTGAGTTTGAGGCCAGCCTGGGCTCCATAGTGAGTTCAAGACTGGCCTGAACTACATAGCAAGATCCTGTCTCAAAAAACAAAAAACAAAACAAAAAAATATTGTCCTTAGGTGGTGCCATAACAGTATAGGTAAAATTCATTATCTGCCATTAGCTCTAAGTTTTCTGGTAAAGGGTTTATATGTAAGAATGGGTATGTTAGTTCTGCCATTTTAATTTTATTTGGGGGCATTAATACCAGAGTAGGAAATAATTCATGGATATAACATCAATAATTAAAAAGAGAATAGCAGCCGGGCATGGTGGTGCATGCCTGTAATCCCAGCACTCGGGAGGCTGAGGCAGGAGGATCGCTGTGAGTTCGAGACCAGCCTGAGCTGCATAGTGAGTTCCAGGTCAGTCTCAACTACATAGTGAGACCCTGTCTCAAAAAAAAAAGAAAAAAAAAAAAGATAATAGCATATTTTCCCACTGATTTTGAGCTGTTGTTGCTATATGACATACAATGTTCTTCATGAATTATAAGATGTTAGATGGTGAGAATAAGTATAGAATATAAAATTGCAAAGAACTCTAAAAGTTGGCTTATTCATTCTTTTTTTTTTCAGTGATGAGTTACTTTTATAACTATAAATCTGGAATTAATTGGCTTCTGCGGTATTGAAATTATGTATTTTTTTCTTTCAGTGAATGAGGGCTGTATTCAATAAGCAGGATTTTAAAAATACCCAGTGAATTCTCTAGCCAGATTTATTTATTTATTTTTTAATTGTGTTTATTGATACATTTTAGGTACACAGTACAGTTACATTCATAATTGGTTTTACATGACAGGTCTTGGTTCTCATTTTTTCCCCTTGTCCCTACTCTCTCTCCACCCCCTCCTTCCCTCCCCATTTACAAACACTTTATTTCCATTTTTTCATTTTCTCATATTTTTTTATTTTCTATTATTAGCTTTCCTCTACCCTTCCCACTTTCCCTACACCTTTAGCCCTTTTCTTTCTATTGCACATTGTCAATTATCTCATTAGGATCTTATGTACTATTATAGTTCTAGTGAGATTTAATAATGAAGTTATACTTGTTCTTCTTAGGAACTTTTGGTGTGTTATGTACTTATATCACCAAAGTGTTTGTAAAGAAACAAATTATGTTTATACTTTTGCTGTCTATCTTCTAAATTTATACATATACAACTAGGTGTTAAAGGCAAACAATTCATATAAAAATACACATAAAATAATAAGATAGGTATAGCAAAAGAATCTTGTTTGACAGCATTGACAAGTGTTGAATTGTATGCCGGCTGATCCAAGTAACCCTAGGGATAGGGCTCAGTACCAGGAGAAGGAATTGGGTGGGACGGGCAGCTGAGACCCTTGTGTATCTCCCTAGGTCTCACCTTCAGGGAGGTGTAGGCATGTAAGACTTAAATTCTCACTTGGGCAAACTGAAGGTTACAAATACTGACTGACCTTTCTTTTTCTCCATGTTCTCATGAAAATGGAGCAGCCTTGGGTAGTGTGATGTAAGGACCCCCGCCTTCCAAATTCTCACTGTCTTTGGCAGGTATTTTACCTCCTAAGCAATCTGCTTGGCTTAATGGACAGCTGTCCCTGAGAAGGCAGCGGAATGTAGAATGCACTGGAGAGGAGAGCTAGCAGCCATTCTTGTGCTGGTACAGGCTTATAGGATAGCTCTCTGTAGGGTTATGAGGGTTTTTTTTTTGTTTGTTTGAGACAGGGTCTCACTGTGTAGTTGAGACTGACCTGGAACTATGTGGTCCTGAACTCACAGCGATCCTCCTGCCTCAGTTTCCCAAGTGCTGAGATTACAGGCATGTGCCCCCTCACTTGGCTATGAGTTCTTACTTAGAGGAAGCAGATGATGTCCCACAATCAGGTACTTCAGAGGAAAGCAATACATGGGTGGGGGGTCATTCGGCAGAGTCCTTTGATCAGGGAAGAGCAACATACAGGCCCGATTTCTAGGAGACTAGGGAGGAAGAAGGGTATGAGCAGAAAACGACAGGTGACCACATACCAAAGACAGATATACCTCTGCTGCTTACCTCACATCCTCCCTCAAGGATGTTCAGCTTCTATGAGGCTCCACCCACTTCTTACTCTCACTCTACCTTAAGTGTTATTAGAAAACAGTGAGGCCCTTAGAAGAAGAATTCACTGTCATATGAGTGCAGAAGCACGGATTTTCTTTGTTGAGATAGGTATAGCAAAAGACTTGTTTGGCAGCATTGACAAGTGTTGAATTGTATGCCAGACACACGTGCAGAGTAGGCTCATATACGGCAGCGGTAAGAGATCCCAGCACAACAAGTAAGTGCAACAAGCACCATCCCGCTCTCAAGGCCCTTAGAGCCAAAGCCTGATATGTAAATTATCCTTTTAATCCGGGCACTATGTGGAAAGCAGCGTAAGGAAGCCACAGAGATGAGAGTGCCCTGGTGGGAGTGGTGGGGACGGGGAGGCACTGTGAGAGAGTCTCCGAGACAGCCTTAAAGGAGAGGGCGATTCTTGGCACTTAGAGAGGCAGAGGATATTCTAGGAGGAAGCCACCAGTGGTGTCTGGGTAGGTAAACACTTCAGTCTCTTTATAGGTTAGATTATACTACGTTGTGAAAAGTTATATAAAAGGTTATTTGTAGGTTTACTAAAATGTAGGTTTACTAAAAGCTTTGATCAACTACAATGTGGATGCTGATAATTAATAGAGACCCACTGACTTTTTTTTTAGTTGGAGAGAGATTTAACTAGGACTCTGATTTAGGCTGCTGTAATTATACAGGAGGTGATAAGATCGAGGTGGAACAGTGGCTATGGACAGAAAAGAGACATTTCAGACATTCACAGTTTGCTAACATTGGTGAGCTTACTGTGTGCTGTACTCTTTACATGCTGCACAGACTTGGAAACTGTTTTAGAACAAGGAACATGCGAGCAACTGGTTCTGATACTGACTAAAGTTTGTGGTTTGGATGACCGAGAAAGTAGTGCTGCTAATAATAGCAAGAAGGTGCTTGAGAAGAGGACTGGTTGTGTCTGTTTGGCGTGTGGGATTAATGAAGCTCAGGAGATTGGAGGGCTTGCAGAGTAGATTGGGAGGAAACCTCAGTGCATCACTAGCGCAGACATCAGAAATGCAAGGTATCGGTCCCACTTCTGCCTTAATTAGTGTCATGTCCGTGTGGGGCAAAGCGTACGTATTTGTCCAGAGTTCTTACCTGGTTATGTCGGCTGGGAGGGACTGAATGATCTGCTTGTCCCTTAGCATTCTAAGTCTTGTCTTCTGTGCTTTAACTGTACGATTCTGAGCATCATGGGATTAGTGTCCCATCTTTGTGTCAGAAGTGTATTAAAATCAGAGTAGTCCTTTCTGTCTGGATAATACTTTACTCCTTCACCGGGCCTCATCAGTGTGTACTCTCAGTGGTACTCACTAAATGTACTTCCTAGCTGGAATTTCATCGCTTAAAAATACCACTGTACACATAGGTGAGCTGGATTTATTTTAGGCATACGTTCTACCACTATACCCCCCACCCCTGCCCCAAGCTGGATTTATTTTAATTTAGCCCCTGGTGTCTTACATGTACCTGGGTTTTAAAAAGATGAAATTAAATCTGACCTAACAATTTGAATTTTAGCTTGGGTCAGAGTTAATTCCAATCAATACAGTTTTGTTTATTTTTGCTTTTTTTTTTAACTGTTTAATGATTTACCAATTTTATGTTTTAGGTTCACTAATGTACTTAAATGAAGCCACATTGCTCCATAATATCAAAGTTCGCTACAGTAAAGACAGAATTTATGTAAGTATTTTAGCTAAAACTTAGTATCTTACCTATGGTTTATTTTTGTGTGGGAGTCATTATTTTGCATGACTGTTCGCCTTTGTCAGGCTCGACATTTTTCTCACAGGAAATCCTGCTTCTCTGAGCCTGTGGAGCAGAATGAACTCCAGGAAGACAAGGTTCTTTCTCATTTATTGCTCCACCTGCTCAGGATGTGCCTGACACACAGTGGGCATTTAATTTGTGGAGTGAAATAACAAATTCAGAGTATCATTTGCTATCATTCAGATTTTAAAAATGTCAAAGTATTTACAAAATCAATTATTTTGATTTTGATTGCTCTTTTTGCATGTATGTCTGTAGTTCTGATTAATTAAGTTCACTTTTCACTTTGTTGTGCAGATAATTGAAGGCAGCGTATAAGGATTATATATTAAAGTCAGAAATTTGAAGGAGGAAAAAGTAAATTAGAATAGAAGGTAGTATCTCAGGAAATACCAACAAAATGCTGATCTTAAAGGCTTAAGTTATTACTTTACTACTGTGTTTTAATTGCAATTATTCATTGGGTGTGTCTGAGATTTTATGTTCTAAAATCTCCTAGTCTAGATTCTTTTGTTGGCTGGAAATAGATTACTTCACTGTGGTTCTTCTGCTAGAAAGATGGGGCTCTTCATTATTTTTGAACGAAGAAAACACCTGGCTTCTTTGACGCTTCCTAGATCAAATGACAGTCTTCATCTTTTATATCACTATCAGTTTGCCTAATTGTACATACTTAATTCTGACTGAATTACATCTAGTCTTTGCCATCTGTCCAAGTAGTGACAGCTGGGAAATGGAACTAATGTAGTCAATTCTGAGAGTTGACCTGTGGTATACGCAGCACATATTCTGCCTATGCACGTACATTTTACTTTCTTTCTTAAAGATTTTTCAAAATCAACTAAATAGTATATGTAAGATTAGATATGAATATTCTTAAATACAGATATATTTAGAAGAAAAATTATGTTGAATAGAATCAAATGTGTGCTGAGTGCCATTTTTTTAGGTCACAAAATGATACAAAAATGTGTTAAAGCAACAAAAAATTTGTTTACCTTACTATAAATCAATGAAAGATAATTTATAAATGACTAGAAAACATAATCTTTGAAGTAGAAGTGTGACATTAGTGTTTTCAAGGTTAAGTGACTGGTATGACCCCTCGATAATTATGTCCTTCATTTATAAACTAATAATATGAGCAATACATAAATATAATTGTTATTACTATAATGTATGAAGGAAAAAGTTACCATAATTATTAATAAATGATGGAAAAATTTTAGACTAACAGTTTAAATTTGATATTTTATGTTTTCCATGAGATACCATTATTCTTTAGGTTTGGGTAAAATAACAGCCTACATTTAGTATTTTTATAGTTACTAAAATCTCTGATCCTTTCCTTTTGTCTCCCCTGGAAAGATTAAGATCTGGAGGTTCTTATTTTTGACTCTGTTCCAAGAGACATCTTTGGGAGCATTTCCTATATTCTAGATTATTTGTCTATTAAGAGTTCTGGGCTTCCACAGAATTTCTCTTCCAAATTAGAAGCAGAAAAGCGAAAAATACGGCCCTTTGTGCTCTAGTTTTGTCAGTATTACTAAACCACAGCCCTCCACTGAACTAACCAGGAATTTTATAAATTCTGCTGGTGCATTTTTCTGATCTTTTAAAGCCACAGTTAAATTCCAAATGTAAAAGCAAGCTTAGGATATTCATTAGACATTTAGCCCCATCAGTGTTTCAGTCAGTGGTTTGCCTGTGTTGGTTTGCAGAACTCTGAGACCAAGAATCACCTAGTGCTAAAGCCCTCTTTGGCATTTGCCACTGGGGATGGGCCCAAAGTCTGCCACGAGCTATATTATCATCATCATCAGCAGCAGGGTGAATGAGGCAGCCTGTGCGAAAATTCACTTAGCCAAGTTCAGCTCTAAGAATCAAAGAGGGGAGTAGATTTCATAAGTGGAGAGATAGAGGCCTTTAGAGACTCAGATTTGTGTTGAGGGTGACTTGGTGGTGTCATGTACCAGGGTAGAGTGTTTTAGTTATTTTTTCTGAGGCAAGGGAGTTGGGGAAGAGAGTATCTTACTTCTAGATATGCTGAGTTGGAGATGACTGGGACAGGACAAGATAAAAAGACTTACTGAGTTGGAGAAATAATAGATCCTATAGAGAATATTTAGTATAGATATCGGAGTCCTGGATATCTAGAGAATTGAAGGAATCTTTTGCCTTAATATTAGCCTCGCTCAGCTTTAAATGAGAATAGTAACTGGAAAAATGTCATGTTTATGCCTTTTCTTTTAGACATATGTTGCCAACATTCTGATTGCAGTGAACCCGTATTTTGATATACCTAAAATATATTCGTCAGATACAATAAAATCATATCAAGGAAAGTCTCTTGGAACAATGCCACCTCATGTCTTTGCAATCGGTAAGGGATTTAATTGGACTTTGATGCTTATCTTTCCTTATGTTGTACAGACTTACTCAGCCTTCCTTTTGAGTTAATAAAAGGTACCATGAATTGAGCATATGTTTTGGGAGGCCTGTGTATCTCGGGGGCACAGCACGGGCGTTGTCAGGAGTAGGCATCTCCTTAGGTGTGTCTGCCCATTGGAAAGTGTGACATAAAAAAAGCCCCGTGATTCTTGTGACTCCTCAGTAAGATCCAGTTTATCTTACAAGTGTCCTTCTGCACAGCTCTGAGGCCCAGGCCATTCTCTCTCAGGCCACTGTTTGCATGACCCGGGCCAGATGTGAGCTGTGAGTGCAGACTTCTCCCAGGCATTACCTTGCATCAGGGCTCTATAAAATGATGGGGTAGGGGGATTTAGCTCAGTGGTTCTGCTGCCTGCCTGGCAAACGCAAGGACCCAAGTTCAATCCCCGGTACCAAAAAAAAAAAAAAAAAAAAAAAAAAAAAAAAGATGGGGTGGGAAGCGGCACCTTTTTCCTATTGCTGAAGAATCTGTGAGGAGACAGTGGTCTTGGCCTTCCCCAGCCTCACTGTTCTTGAAGCCCTCCAGCTCTGAGGCTCAGTGAGATTAAATTATTGGATCAGAGTTAGAATTTGCTGCCTACCCCTTTCCTACCAAGTTCAGAGATGTCAGCTAACTCACTTCTTTGCAGCCCGACATATCCCGCCGTTGAGTGTTGTTTAAGTGCAGCCCGCTTCTCGTTGTGCCTTCCCTTCGTGCTGCCTGTGGCCTGACCAGGCTTCACTTGCCAATTGGTTGCTGTGTGTGCGATACTGCTGGGCAGAGTGAAGGCACCAGGCAAGCCCAGCACATTAACTTTTGGTGCTGAGATGCTCTGATGAGCGTTGATACGTGCTCCTGAGGCAACAAAACGATACACAATCCTTAGATCTGAATATCAGCAGGCGAGGGTGATCTTGGAAAAGTGTTAGTTACATGTGTAAAATGTAAATAAGGTAGCTTTTAATTTTTAGCCTTTGCTAAATAAGTGTTTGGAATGATTCTATAAAAGTGAGTGTAACAGGTTATTGAAAAGTTAGACAAAGGAATGGGTATACTCTTAGCATGATACATGTCACTGTAACAAAGTATCTAAAAGACTCTGAGACAAGGAGGTTGTTTAGCTATAGTCACAGAGAAGACCGAGCCACACAGTGGAGGCTTTGTGGTGTGGGGCACCCCTTCCCGTGTCACTTCACTGTGGCTTGCAGTGACCAGAGTGAGTCAGACTAGGAGCAGCGAGAGGATAGAGGGGCCAGGCTTGTGCCTTTTTACAGCCCTTTTCAAGAACTCGAGAGCATGGGAGAACTACCTTCTGAGGGCATGGCCCTGAGGCCTCACCTCTCCGAGGCTCTGCCACCCTGCAGACCAGGCCTTCCATCACAGCGGACCCTTGGGGATCCTGGAACCACATCCCAGGCCCGGTTCTGTCCTCACAGAAAGAGACAGTTGTATAGCCTTCCTCAATGGTTAGCAAAATTTTAGGTAAGAAATAGTTGTCTTACTGAGCCAATGTGGTCAGGAATTTAAACAATTTTGACTTAATTTAAATGTCATTTGTTTTAATTTTAGACCACTCTAACAGAATTAAATTGTGCTTAATTTGCCTGTATAGTCTTAAAATTTAATTTTTGCCTCTTTACCAGGAGTTGAACCCAGGTTGTTGAGCAGGGTAAGCGAGCACTCTGTTACTATGCTACATCCCCAGCTCTTTTTCAAAAGTTTTATTCATTTAGAGACAGGGTGTTGTTAAGTTGCCCAGGCTGGCCTTGACTTGTGATATTCCTGCCTCAGCCTCCCAAATAGCTGGATATATAGATGTGTGCTACTGTGCCAGGTAAAATGTAAGACATTTTATAGGTTAAATTGTAGAGTGTAGGGGAAAATAGTTAAAAATTATATACAAAAATTACAAATCTAAGAGATTTAAAGCAGCAAATTTTAACTTTCTTTAAAATGCTGATACATTCTAAAGATGTTTAACTTGAATAGTATCTGTAGTGGAAAAAAACCCCACAGATTTATTTTTGCAATTACGTGATTTTTCTTTCCCAGCAGAATTTTTGGTTGCCAGATTTCTCGTCTGGAAGCTTGTACTTGTTGCTTTTCAGTGGGGACTTTGTTAGTTAGGTATAGTAAACCTTTTTTCTGTTGCTTTGAAAATCTCTTGTGCGGGGAGGGCTGAATGACAGCTCATGGTATGGAGGTATTGTCACACAAAATTAAGAGTTCTCTTATTTGGATTTTGTATCATTCCGCTGTTAGGATCAAGCATTGAAAATAAATCCGTTTAGAAGTGTTTTCAACAGTTTTGAAAGACTTTGTTTTAAAATTTCCCTTTTATCACACATTTTTGATTAAATTCTTTGGAACACATACACCTAAAATGAACTGTCTACATTTAAGGACTTTTCTATTTAATACATTGTTGGTCACCAATGTGTTATTTTGGTCCTAGCTGATAAGGCTTTCCGAGACATGAAGGTGCTCAGGATGAGTCAGTCTGTCATTGTGTCTGGGGAATCAGGAGCTGGCAAAACAGAAAATACAAAATTTGTTTTAAGGTGAGTATTCAGGGCCGGGGATTTAGCTCAGCGGTTCAGTGGCCTGCCTTGCAAGCACAAGGACCCAAGTTCATTCCCCGGTACCAAAAAAAAAGAGGTGAATATTCAGCTTCCCTGCAATATTTTGGAACCGGGTAACATTATTTTGGAGGTTAAAAATGCATAGCATAAAATTTACTGCCTTAACCTTTTCTGAGTGTGCAGTTTCATAATGTTACCACATTCACTTTGTTGTGGAGCCAGTCTCCAGACATTTTCATCTTGGATAACTGAAGCTCTGTGCCCATTAAATAGCAACTCTGCCCTTCCCACTCCACCAACCTCTGGCAACCCCCATTCTACTGTTTCTGTGAATGTAACTACTCTAGGTAGCCCACATATGTGGGATCACGTAGTATTTATTTTTCTATGACTGCCTCGTATCATAAAAAATTTCTTAGACAAAGAAGTAGAAATAGCAAATAACATAGGAAAAAATGTTTTAGCATTACTGGTTGTTGTAGAGATGCAGATGAAAACAACACTAAGGTTCCACCTCACCTCAGAAAGAATGGCTGCTATCAAGAAATTAACCAATAGCAAATGCTGGCGGGGTTGTGAGGAGAAAGGAACCCTTCTCCATTGTTGGTGGGAGTGCAGACTGGTGCAACCACTGTGGAAATCAGTATGGAGATACTTCAAACAACTAGGACTAGAGGTCCCATTTAATCCAGCTATTCCCCTGCTGGGTATCTTCCCAAAAGAATTGAAAGACTCATACCACAGTGATATATGCTCACCCATGTTTATAGTGGCACAGTTTGTAGTAGCTAAAACTTGGCAACAGCCCATTTGCCCATTAACTGGAGACTGGATAAAGAAGATGTGTTTTTTGTTCATATATATATGTATATATATATATATATATAAAATAGAGTACTGCTTAGCCTTAAAGAATGAGAAACTAGAGACACTTATAGCTAAATGGATGCACTCTGAGGCCATACTCTTAAGTGAAATAAATAGTACACACATGTATAAATACCAAATTGTTTCTCTGGTGTGAGAAACAAAGTGTAAATGAGGAACAAAATGTATAATAGATAATGTGAAATAGGAAGAAAAGGTCTAAAGGGGAATGGGAAAAGAAATTGGGAGGAGTAGGGAAAAGGAATAAATACGAGAAAAGGAAAAAACAGAAACAAAGTGTTTGTAAGTAGGAAGGGGTGGAGGGGTTGAAAGGAGGGCAGGGGAACAGGGAAAAATAAGAACCAAGATATATCATGTAAAGGTACAAATTCCCAATGATGTATGCTGTATACCTAAAATGTACAATAAACTTGATAAAAAAAAAAAGACTTCCCCCATGTAGTGTGTGTCTCGTGTTACAGTATGTCTTAGAATTTCCTTCCTTTTAAAGGAAGGTGTATACTACATTACACTGTACGTGTATACTGCTCTTTGTTCCTCCTCATCTTTGTTGGCAGACATTTGGGTTACCTTCACCTCTTGACTTTGTGAATTATATAGTTATGAAAACAGGTGTGCAAATATTTCAGTAGGTTGACTTTTTCTCATCAAAAGCATTTATTCATGTGAACAGCTTTACAAAAATGGTATCATTCGATTTCCTTAGCACTTATTCATTTACAGCTAATTTTGAATAGCGTGCTATTACATATTTTAAGTGACTCATGTTCCATGGAGAATGATGCTCCTTTAAGAACATGAGCTATCTGGAAAATTAATGAGCAGGAAGAACTTTTTGCATATTGGAATCCTAGCAACCTCTGCTTACTAAAACTCTGCCGATTTTGTTGTATATCTGGTCTTTTATTGTTCTGTAATCTTTACTGTTGATATCAGAAAATTCCCCAAGATGATCAGAAGTATCCATTTAATCCTGGGATCCGATACTCAATCAGTTGACAGGAAGTACTGCTGTTTCCTGGTTTCTCACTAGGCTGACTTTTAATACATTTGCTTACTTTAGGGCATAGTTTGAAATGGTAGCCTCTATCATTTTAAAGAAACAAGCACCTTTTGTGGACGCTAACCTGTAGATTGTTTAAAGTCAGCTCTGATACTTGAGGATCCTGGAAGAGACCAGTTCTGGTTAAGGAAATCTAGGACTGCTCCTTCAAAACCCAGAATCCAAAGGGGTGTTTTATTCTGTGATCCCTCTGTTAGTGTATTTGAGATCATTTTTTACTTTGAGTTTCTGCCTCCCTACACCTCCTACCTTTCTCCTCTGCTGCCATCAGTTTTCACACTGTTTAGAATCAGAGCATTTAAACACAGAAGGAGCTTCCACACTCATCAAAGTTCAGTTCTTACAGTACCCAAAGAAATTAATCTGATGGTGAAGCTACTGCTAGGAACGGGACATTCTTAAATTTCACCCATATTACCACTATATTATTTTAACTTATTACAGTTCTGGGTTGATTGTTGCATGGTGGGACCTTCTTTGAAATTTGTCTTTGCTTATATAAATGTATATGCTACTCAGAGTTATTTAGTAAAACCAATTGAAGAGTTTGTTAATGCCCCTTCTGTATGTGCTGTTCTGTTTAAATGAATGTGTCCTGATATTCTCAGATTTCTAAGTGATTCAATTTCGTATCCTTTTCTTTCCTGCAAATAATAGTCAATGTTAAATCTGTGGTGCATATACAAAAATGAACAAAAAGATAATTATAAACTTATAATGTATATTTGTGTTATAACTCAGTGGTTGCTTTCAGTGTTTTGAACTATGCCAGGCAAATAGTTTTTCTGTTGTATCTAACTGTTTAGTGTAATAACTCTTAAGAGTGGTAACTTCCCAGTTGTTCAGTAGCAGATTGCTTTATTTTCTGTAGCTAGCCATAAAGATTGAATTAATGGGCTATTGCAAAAGGCTTTAAAACCTCATAGGTGATGAGTTTTTCCATTTGAAATGAGTGGTATATTTAAAACCAAATAATAGTTGGTTAAATTAGCGTATTTCCCAGAACAGCTTAAAAATAACATTAATTTACATGTTAAAGACAATTTAAATAGAATTTACAATAAATTTAAAGTGGTAATAAAATATATTTAAACATAAATGTGTAATTTTTAGTTATAAGGATGATACAGGTTTCACTTTTATGTGTACTAAACACTAAAATTATATATGGTGTGAATATTATTGCATTCTAATTTTTTAAATCTTATGCTTTAAACAGATACCTGACTGAATCCTATGGAACAGGTCAAGATATTGATGATAGAATTGTTGAAGGTATTGTTTATTTTTATTTTCTATCATTTAGCATGTGTTGAAATTCACTAATAAGGACTTTTTCTGTGGTCTGGAAAAACCTTCTAGAGATGCAGAAGACTCCCTTATACAAGTCTTTGCTAAGGTGTTGCCTTCTCCCTTATTATCTCTCATCACCTACTCTACACGAATACTAGAAGGCAGGGAATTTTGTTTTGTATTTTATGCCCCTAGAATAGTATGGAATGCATAGCATAAATACCCACTGAATGAGTGGCAGAAAGGAACCTCTTTGGCTTCCTGTTTGTTTTTTGGGTCTTGTGTTTTTGTGAAGGAGGAAAGAGGGCACACAATTATTTGGTGTTGAGGTGCCTTTTTGGGAAAACTGTCTTAACCAGAATGTTCTCTTGGCAGGCAGGAATGTGTGAATTGATTTCCTTAAGCTGTTCTTGCTCGAAGACCTCTTAGAAACCCGTTGCACCCCGGTTTGGAGACACTGGCCTAGACCATTGTCACACTGAGTCAGCACCCCTATCTATGCCTGCTGCTGTCCACTCCCTTTGGAAGTGGGATGAGCTCTTTTGCTTTCAGTCTTTTGACAAGTTTGTATTGCTCACATGGTCATGCTCCAAAACCCTGCTCTTACCCTGTGCTCTTCAGTCCGGCCCTGCCCCTCACCTGCTTTTAATTTTGGTTCCTCTTCATCCTTGTGCTTTAGTCCTGTTGGTCTTCTTTCAGGTCTTGGGAGTGCTGTAGGCTTCTCTGTTTACTCTTCCTTTCCCTTGTGGCCCCCATAATATACTCAGTTTCACCCTTAAAAATTGAATAAATAAAAAACTAGTATGGGTTGACTCAATAAAAGGCTGCTTTGTGTTCTGATTTATTTACTTGAGAATTAAATATAAGCCTGATTTCTTCTTTGGTAATGTGCTGTGTAGTGCATAGTGTGTTCTAGTTGAGAAATGTTGGAAAGTGTTATTCTAATAGATGTAGCTGGATGGCTGTGGAGTTATTTGATGCATTCATAATTAAAATTCACTTGTTTTGGGAATGTATTTCTTATTAATAGCATAATTAAATGTGCTTTTCTGATGGAGTGTTTCCTATCCCATTTTGGGATAATTTGCACATATTAAATTTCACTTAAGTTATTTTGTAGGTCATTAGTAAGGGAGTTTGGGAGACCTAGGATTGAGTACTTTTTCTGTCAACAACAAGTCCTTGGTTTTTTTGAGAATTAGTTGACCGTATTGGCCCTAGTTTTCTTGCCCATCTGAAAAGTAGGATACATGCTAACACTTTTTATAGTTTTAATACTTTCTAAGCCATTTTGGCAAGTGAAATGGCTGAGGAATGATCTTTAAAAAGATGTGAAGATTAGCTTTCTGCCATGGAAAGAATAAGGAAATGGACTTTAAAATGCTTCATAGGAAATATTCTGATGATTTATGAAGCAGTTGAAGTTGGTGGTGAAGAATATGTAAGATTAATACTGATATGTGGTAAGCGTTGAGACTTTGGTAAGTATAAGTATAGATTCTAGTAACGCTTATCCAATCAGTGGGATTATAAGAAAATAACTTTTAAAACCATCCTGAGAGCCTTTCTTAATTTTATAAACTTTTAATTTGTTAAACTGAATTAGATGTGCATGTAAAAATATTTAATCTGGAGGTTATAACAACATATAAATATTTTAGAAAAGTAAGTTAAGTAATAAGTTTCTTGCTTGTAGTTTTGCAGTTTTATCCATTATCATCAGTAGTCTTTTTTTTTGTTTTTTTTTTCTTTTTATTGAGGTTATTGGTACAATCTAGGTATACAATACAATTACATTCATCACTGGGATTCTGTACCTTTACATAATAGGTCTTGATTCTCATTTTTCCCCTTGTCCCTGCCCTCCCTTCACCCCCTCCTCCCCTCCCCATTTACAAACACTTTATTTCCATTTTTTCAGTTTCTCTTATTACCTTTCCCCCACCCTTCCCACTTTCCTTACACCTTTAGCCCTTTACTTCCTATTTCACATTATTAATTATCTCATTAGGATCCTGTGTACTATTATAGTTTTTCACACCAAAGAAACTATTCAGTATTTCAGTTAAGAAATCTCTGTATGAACATTAAAAATAGGGAATCCTAAAATAAAACTAAAAAGCAAAGTAAAAGAGAAAAGGCAATGATGTAACATCAAAATAATCCTTAATTCTGGAGATGAAAATGGTCCCTGAACATATTTAAATTGCTTCTCGCGCTTATAGTCTTATCTTATTCTTTTTTTCATTATTTAGAGAATACTTTATTAGTTTCTGTAATCAAACCCACGTAGATATGACCTTACATATTTAGTATGATGTGTTACCCCTGTACACATGGAAAAAAAATAAATTAACAATTCTAGACCAATATGACTGTCCATTTCTGTACAATGCCAACTCAACACAGTAAATTGGGATGACTTTTTCCAAAGTTGGCAGCACCATTAAAGTTTCCCAAAATTCAATTTATATATAT